GAGGATTTTGAGTCTTACATTTCTCGTACCTCAGGATACTTGTCCACAGCCTATCCATTGTAACTTGTTTGTTGACAAGGGAGTAATGCATAGAACAATTATTAAGTAACTAACTGTATTCTTCAAATCTGGAAAGAATAAAGCTTATCCATTGATATGGAAGGTAGGTAAAGCCTTTGTTGTGGTCAAAATTGAACAATACATGTCTGCTTCAATATGTTGGTATAACTGTCCCAAAGTTCAATGCCAGTAGTTTGTTTAAAATACTCATTTTAAGCCTTGAGTTTGGATGACTCATAGATAGGTGGTAATTTAAAATTTATTTTAACCCCCAAATTCATTTAAACAAAATGGGAATTTCTATTTTCATATTTTGAGAACATCTTTTTTACAATCTCTTTTGGTGTTTCGTTTTCACCATTTCTAGTTTCTACTTCATTATTATTTTACTTGTATTTATAAATAGGTATTTGAGGATGAATAAATTAATTTGAATTGAAATGAATACTTTGGAGCATTGAAATTTATAATTCAAATTATTCAAATTGATCGCTTTTGACCTTGAATTCGGCATTGGTTGTTTCCTGATAAAGTGTAGAGAATATTAATGAAAATTATTTCTACCATATTAACATATTTAATCAATTACCATAACTAACATTTTTTAATTAAAATGGGATAATATTACACCTGTACCAAGACACTGTTATTTTAATTGATTTGCTGGTATCATTGACATCCTCAAGATTTAAAATTTGTTTGTTATGCCCACTGAACATGCATATGATCTAATGGTATAATTACAAATAAATTATTGATTTCTATATACTGTAATATTATAAGATATTAATGGTTCTCTCCATTTATGCAGTATAATATTACAATTATTATTTACCAGTCTATTGAAATTAGTAGAGTTATTAATAACAAGGCAGAAATAGTTGGATGTATTCTATTTGCATTCATCCCACATATCATTAAATTTTAATTTATTGTTGATTACAAAACAATTGACATGCATATTACTCTGAATTATTTTAATTTACATATTATAAATTTAAAACTGACAAAATCATGGTCAGTAATAGCTTGAAGTGAGTAGGAAATTCATCCGTTTCCACACATTTTCACACATTAAAAATGTAAACATCCATAGTTCTCTTTGTAGACCCTTTCAGTATTTTGTTACAGCATCATTCCTCTGTCGGCTAAACTGGAGGTAGGCACAGAGTGTGCGCTGAACCATGGAAATTCATTGTTAACTTTTGGTACCCAGTTCAATCAGTGGCGTCGAGAGCCAGTAATGGCCCCGGGGCAACACCTCACATGGTAGAAATGAGCTTTCCCGACTTCTGAGGTGTCTTTTAATTACTTTTAAGTTCACACCCCCCCCCCCTTCACTTGGGACCCCCACTTGGCCTCTCCCCAATTTAAGTGTCCTCCTAAATCTGACAACAGAAGTTTTCATCCTGGCTTGGGCTCGGGCCCTATGGAAATTTTGTTCTTACCCCGAAAATTTTTCATCTTGGTCCGGGCCCTCAGTAGACCCCCTCCCCCAACCCCCTCTCGACGCCACTGGGTTCAATTCAATTCACTACTCTCCTTTTGTTTTGGACTTTTGTAGGTTGATCTGAATAAATCCAATTTACTGTTTTATTGAGGGAAAAGTATATAATTTTTTTAGAAGTTGATCCACACACTATTAAAAATTTCAATACTAATAGCAACACATCAGTGGTGATCAAAATCAAACCTGCCAAGTTTGACACCTATCAGTTGCCACCAGGATCCCAGTGGCATCCTAATACTCATCACCAAGATACCAGCAATCAACACTAAGAACCAGACAACACCAACATCCCAATACCCGGGTCAGCAAAAACAATCAACACCAAGAAACAGGCAATACCAATATCCCAACACCAGTAGTCAACTTAAAATAATCAACACCAAGATATCAATAGTCAACACCAAGATACCAATAGTCAATACCAAGAAACAGGCAGTACCGATACCCCAACACCAATAGTCAACCTAAACAATCAACACCAAGATACCAGTAGTTAACACCAAGAAACAGGCAATACCAGTACCCCAACACCAGTAGTCAACTTAAACAATCAACACCAAGATACCAGTAGTCAACACAAGAAACAGGAAAAACCAATATCCTAACACCAGTAGTCAACCCAACAATCAACAAGATAATAGCTGTCAACACCAAGAACTAGTCAACACCAATATCCTAACACTAGTAGTCAATCTAACAATCAACAAGATAATAGCTGTCAACACCAAGAACCAGTCAATACCAATATCACAATACCAGTAGTCAACGTAGCAGTCAATTTCTAGCTGTCAACACCAATAACCTTTCAGTTAGTACTTCAGGACCTTAGTTAACATAACAAGTCCCATGTAGTCCCCACAGCAAGACTCAGGTAGTCAATACCAAGACCCTGTGGGTTAGTACCAATGTGCAAGTAATCAAAACACAAAGTGCCAAATCCTTAGTTAGCACGGCAAGATCAACACCAAGATGCTAATAGTCAAAAACAAGACCTGTAGTAATCAGCACCAAGACCCGTAGTAGTCAGCACCACCACGTGCCAATACTCTAGTAGCCAACACCAAGACCATAACAATTTCAACTAAGATCTTAATAGCCAACACCAAGACCCAAGTTTCAACAACAAAGACACAAAGTGGCCATTATTACTTTCCGCCAATAAATGACAAGAGGGCAGGTCCTACCTCCAGTCGGATGCGACCGCAGGTCGGTACGGTCACAGCGCTAGATCGCGATAATGTGAGAGTTGCTTATTCCCTAGTAGAGTCAACACCAAGACCATAGTAGTCAAACCCAAGTCCTAATTAGGGTCAAACACCAAGACGCAGGGAGTAGGGTCAACTCCAAGTGATGAATACTAAGAGCCTGGCAGTCAACCTCCTTGATTCTATTATTCCCTAATCCTCTATTTCCAGTCCTCCTCAAAGTTATAATCTTCCGAATTCACCATTGCTTAGAAAACACACATAAGGCTTTTGTTGTAGGTGATGTAAGTATTTGGAGAATGATGCTTTTAAATAGAAATAAAAATAGCTATTATACTACCTTTGAATAGACCAAGTCCTGACTCATATTACATTAATAGACCAGTATTGTTCATAATTAGTAGTTAGCATGTCTAACGATAAGGCCATTAAACTCTATGAGAATGAATCCATGTTTACCTGAACGAATCACCAGATTAATGTTTATGGTTGAGATGGTAAATTATCTTGCATTTTTCTCAGTGTGGTTGTAATGATTAGTAATATTGGGAAGCAAAGTAAACAAATATAAAATAGTTCAGTGAGAGTGATACCAAAACCAAAACCACAGTAACATGATGTACCTGTAACTTAAAGATCAATTTTAAAAAGTTTTTGCAGAATAAGAAATAATAATAAGTAGTATAATTACTATACTTCATAACTGTTGAGCATTGGAAAAAACAGCCATTGAAGTATTCAACTGAAGTTATTTTATTGTTTTTTGAAGTGAATATACAAAAATGTTACACCCCATAAGTTCCCAAACTTCTACCATTCACAACCAACCAAGTCCCTAGCTGATGTATAACCCTTATCCATCAAAACCTAAATTTACTTTCCTACTTGTAAACACATTTTCCCAAATGACTACAGTATTTTTATAGTTGATAGATGTTTGCAACTTGCGGACCATATGGTTGGAACTGAACCAACATAAACTACTTGGGACATGATAGGTTATCAATCTGTCATTATCCACTACATTTATTAAATTAAATTTGTACGAAAGAGTTGTAAGGTTTAAAAGTTTACTCACTTCTTGGAAAATCTGACAACCATTACATTTGGAAACAGTTTGTAAAGCATAATAGAGCTATAGGTTCATGGTTGATTGCAGGATCTTGGGTTCAAATCCTTTTAGAAACCTTTTTTAAATAAATAAATAAATTAAGAACAGAGCTACTTCCAAGTAGTATAAACATGTTTAATATAGGACATCATGTAATTTGAAAGAGGTGAGAATAGTGGCGTATCTAGGGCTGAGTAGAGGTGCAGCCCCCAAAAAGCTTGCTTTCCCTAGTCATGCACCCCCCCCCCATTAAATATGTCTGATGCAAAAAATTATGCTCTAGTAGTTAAAAAATCACCTCATATCACCTTATTGTGCAACCTAGCACCCCTCACTTAATCATTAAGCCCTACTCCACCTTCACGCAAAATCGGTCCCTTCTCGGCCATCCACCATTTCCTAGATACGCAACTGGTTGAGAATGAGGAAGAGGAAGAGGAAGAAGGAGACTTAGTGCAACACTAATTATCGTTATGTCTTTCTAAATGAAGATCATGGAACTATGTTAAACCAGAAAAGATTTAGTTGGTTAAGTTGCTTGCCTTTCAATCCCAGTGTCCTGGGTTCAATTTCTTGTCATGGTAGCAGGATTTCTTCTCACTACCAAAAATAACTCCATAATGAGACTTAGTTTATATAGAGCATCTTTTGTTTATGTTTTTTCATGCGAAGGGATTGCCACTTTACACAGTGATCATTTGCTGCTTGGCATTTTATCTTTGGCTTTGTGCCTAAAGTTGAATTAAAATTTTTATTTAGCAAGACTAATAAAAGCAGTTCCTGCTTTATTCTTTCTTATTTTGTTTTTTTGAAAATTAGAGAAAGTGTTCTTTTTTGAGGAAGAATTATAAGAATAATGTTTTTTTGATTTGTGAATGAAATTCAATGAAATTTGTCTTACGTTCAAGGATATCACAAAGTGTAGTAGGATTACTGGTATATTATTTTGAGTCTTCACTGAATACTCCACCAAAATTAGTCAACCGTGACTGATTAAATTTCCCATTTCTATGACAACGGTCTTATGTTTACCCTGTATTGATAATGGTCGAGTCCACGATATGTCCTGAGGCATTGGTAACTATTTCCTATCTATTGTTACACAGCAACTACACAATGAAAATCAGGCTTCTTCACTCATTGTAAACGCAGAGTACCTATTGGTTGAAGCATATTGTCATCCTGTACATCCCTTAACCAACAATGAACTCTCTGTACTTATGTAAATCCAGCCAGTTGTCAAGTAGGGCCTACATAAAGCGGAATCTACCACTATTGCAGTGCTTGCAAGTTTGGGGAAGTGTTTTGATCTGATTTTCCAAGCAGTTGTGCGATGACTAGCATGTGGAAGTGTTGTATGCTTATACTGGACAATTCAACTCGCGTTATAATGATTAGTACGAGTACTGCTAGCATTTGAGTAATGTCTTCGTTTTTCTCAGAGAGACTTCATGGACTCGCATGCTAAGTTATTTTCCATATACTATTTTTTATATCTTTTTATTTTCCTTCTTCAAGTTATTGAATGAGTTGATGGTATTGGTATGCATTTAAGTGCTGAATGTTTCAAACAGAATGTCTTTCTCTGATAATTGTCAAAAATTTCAGCAAGTAAAATGAAAGATTTATCTTGAACAAGGCTGTAATAAGGAGAATTGCAAATCACGTCACAGGTCTACGATAAACGTTGAACTGACTAAACATTAAAGTACTTTCTACCATTGGTATTCCATTAATTCATGACTTGCACGTTGTTGAATTCAGGAAGATATACTTTGTCAATATTAAAAGATAGAGGCTTTGGTCGAGGGTGATGGTTGATGTTAAATATGAGCACAACAATAATGACTAGTTTCAGTGGTACCTTGGAATGATAAGCAACACCTCACTTGTCACTTGATAGATTGCACAGGAAGAAATCGGAGTGAAGTGTTGATCTTATGTTTGAAAGTAATCTTGTTTGTTGCGATAATTGTTACGCTATTGCTGTGAACAAACAGATTGGCTAAATTTACAGAGATTTGATGATGCCACACTGTTTTTCCAATATGGCGTCGTCGTTGGATTACACGTATTGGTATTACAACTATATGCCATGGGAGGCTATGTATACTTGTCGGACATGTGAAAAGCAAGTTGATGATGCATTTAAGGCGACGCAAGAAACTGCTATTCAACAAGTCGCTGATACAGTTGATGATGTAGAAATTCCTCAGGGTCAAGGTTCGTTTTGGATTATCTTTTTTTCTGCCTGCAACTTGCCTCATCTGTTAAGTATATTCGTAGAAATAATCATAATTGTCAATGTACAGTAGAATCCCTATGAAGACACCTACAGGACAAAGAAATGTCTCCGTATTAGGGGTTGTCCTCTGAATAGGGATTGTTAAAAAAAATATAAGCCTACTTTCCTGCGTTTCGTGGCTGATAAAGTGTCCCCTTTTATTAGGGGTGTCCCAAAGTAGGGGTTCTACTATTAAAGATTGATTGCTTATAAAACCTATTCCTTCATGATAAAACTAAGACTACAAACTACACTTGTGGGAAGAGGCAGTTCTCTCTGGCCAGCCAGGGTCTTTGCTATCATAATATGGGGTTCAGAATTAGCAAGGCAATAGATTGCTTGATCGTCTGTTTGTTCCCTCTCCCCTGTCTCATTCATTTAGCCAAACATTGAATGGTTCTACAAGTATCGGGTATTATTTATTTGACTTATAAACATAGGTATACATTCAATTTATTTTTAAGTGCAAAGAAACAAAGGAAGCAGGACCTGTGTTTGTGGTCCAAATCTAACATACCTAAATAATATATCTTAGCTGCAGAAATAATTAATTATTAATCAATTAATAATTTATTAATTTATTAATTAATCAATCCATTTCATCAATCAATTTTTTTTTAAACCAAAAACAATATTTTGACAAAAATGAAATACAGTTGGAGGAATTCCTTAAGAAAGAAATTTAAATAAAAATTGACCGGATTTACGTATAGTATGTGTCAGTTTGTGTTTAGAATCCATCCGCCGACTGAATTTGATAGTTGTATCCTTAGCAGTGACTATGACTATGAAAACGTCGCCCACAAATAATTCCAAATTAAAATTAATGTTAGTTTCACGTTACCGTCCTCATTAAATTTTGGAGCCTCATGAAAAAGTTTACTCTTTGTTATTTAAAAAAAAAAAACAAAACCAATTATTCATCAAATTTTGGAGCCTCATGAAAAAAAATATACTATTTGCTATAAAAAAAAAAAAATCCATGGAAAATAAAAATATTTTCTGAAACTTGTTGTCAAAGCCTAATTAAGGTGAGATGGAAACATGGCAGAATAGTATTATAAAGTTTAATTCTACTTCTTTTATGAAAAAAAAAAAGAAGAAAATAAGAAGGCAAACAATAGGATAGTAGTAAATAGCCTCAGTACAGCCTCACCAAAAATAATTTCAAATCCGGACATGAAACTAACAATTAATTTTATTTGGCCTTAATTTGCCCGACTTTCCATACTATGAAAACATGCATGTCAGTTATGACAAAGTAAAATTGAATTTGCTTTAATAATGTTTTGAGTATAATTTAATTATGACTTTCCAATTCAACTAAAGTTGTAATTGATTTGAACTCTACCCCTTAAAATGAACTACAGCTGATTTGATTTTGCCTAAGAATAATTTGCCACCAGAATTAATTCAGTGTGGAAAGATATGTTTGATTGATTCAATAGCAAATGTGTCTTTAAACAGATTAAACTTTTTTCTGTAGTGTAAACAGAGTCTATATGCCATAAAAGAATTTGTTATTCGTTTTTGTGGTTTAAATTGATGGTTATATTGTCTTGTTCATGAAAAGGTATGGATTTATTGGCTTCTGTCTCCTCAATCACTAAATATTGGATGTGCTCCAGAGAATCAACCCATTCTTAGTATTTACTTTAATAAGTGCTTCTTATCATAATATATATTATTTAAGACTAAATTAATAATCCTTAAAATGACCAAATAAGCATTACACTGTAAGTATAAATTAGACTGTCATATGAAATAAGAATGCACTGTAAATTGGATTACTGTATTGTCATCTATCAATGCATAAAGGTATAGGAAATAACAAGTCAAGACTTAGCTCACAGTTTGGATGATGGATCTATAATAAATAATAATACAATTAAAAATCAGTTTTGATACTAGGTCACCATGGGTTTTAGCTACTTTAATTAAAATAATTAAAAAAATCACATTTGAGAATTGGAGACCACAGAAAAGTGGTCTTAATTGTAGGGGTCTTTATTTGGATGGAGACCTCCTACTTTATGTAATGTTTTCAAAGTTTCATATGAAAACCAAGTTGTTCAGAGGGGACAAACATAAAAACAAGCTGGATATAATGAATACATATTAATGGAGTGACAAACAGATGTGTAATATTTGTTTTGTTTATATCTTATGTTCCATAAAGGGCCTCTTGAAAAAACACTGCAATAAACAATACATGCTACAGTTTTACCATAATAATTTTTTGTTATAAGCACTGCTCTCGAATAAACACCGCTCTCATATAGGTGCTACACTAAACCCCTGGAACTATAATTGCAGTGGCGCTTATATATAGGAACATTTACGCTATAGTTATATAGTTCTTCATGTTATAAGCATTGAATTTATGTTTTTTGAAGAAAATGGATATTAATAATCACTAATTTAAAAATACCTGTTACAGACAGACATATTTGTATTATAAGTTGTAGCTAGAGAGCTCATTTTTCCAGGTTAAGCATTCATATGACAAATGACTGAGGCTTAGTGTTAGTGAATAGTAACAGAATGAAGGCAATTTAAACACTAGTGGCAGAAGGCGGTGGTATAGTCTATGAATAAGTCTCTGCTTTGTTAGGATGAGGTGCGCCACTCAACCTTGGCCTACCATAGAGATAAGGACATTGATCTGTGCTCTATTCAGTATTTTGTGGTTTCAATAAGCGAGGCAATTATTTTCATAGTCATACTTCAAAAATTATATTTATTGACTAAATCATTGAAAGATTTTATTTTCTTCATTTTTTTTTTAATGAAATTTTTGCTGATTTAAAGATGATCTGCTATGCAGTATTTTTAATTTTAGCACAATATCAATATTAATAAGCAATTAATAGAGCTGTGCATAGTACACTATAGGAAAATTATTATGCGAAGGTTAGATTTAATGCTTGAAAAAATTTCCTGAGGGCCTGCAAGGCCCGAAGGGAAATCTTGAATGCAATAAATCTAACATAAGTATAATAATTTTCCGCTAGTGTGATATGCAAGCAGCTCTACTAATTGCTTTATAAGTCAATCACCATCTTTAATGTTAGTTTTGATAAATCAACTGTTGTAGCAGTCATCGGTTGCTATAGTGATATGATCAGTACACTGTGTGCGTATTTACATTGAGCTGTGCGTGTGCTGATTTGTGCTCCTGTAGTACACATTAACTCACAGAGTTAGTGACGTTGCACATCAGCAGTACAGTACGGATACAATGAATAACTATTGTAATTTGTATAAACAATTCTTAAAGCATTTGAGAGAGAATACATTAGTCACTTATTGGTCGGTGCAGACAGGTAAAGTCGTGCGATGATTTCATAACTAGGCAAGGCTATGGCCTAGGAGGCGGCATCGGTGGCCTCCTGCCTGGCCGTAGGCCTACATCTAACTCTGTTCCTTAAGTCTTTAAAAATTGGTCTAGAATATTCCCATTAAACGTTCAGTTTAGTTTATTAGGGTCAATTAATTCAAGGAATTCCTTAATTGTTCATACTAATATTGAATTTGAAGTAACTTTCTTCAGGTTGTAATTAACCTTGTTTTACAAAAGTAATTTTCAATTACAATTCAATTTTCATCGCAGTGTGTGATATCTTCGTAGTGATGAAAAATGAGGTATTTTTTTGCACACCAACCTTAAAAAAAATCAAGCCAAGTGTACACTATGTGAAAAGTTATTGTAGGGAATAGGCAAATAACATTAGCAGTGATGACGTCACGATTAACTTGTTATAATATAATTTATTTATAGAAATTTGAATATAGTTATTTAGGTAAAAATAGTAGTAATGATTTATAATACCTTAATACACAGAAATGTAATAATAAAAATATTTTTTTCATTTATATATCAGTAATATAATATTGTACTATATAATAAATACTTAAAGAACATTAAAATATTATGCCAAAAAAAAATTTTTTTTGTTTGCCCTCATTTATTAAGCATATACCCGGTAGGCCATTGGCCCAAATACAATATAAACAAAATTCATTAAATAATCAGCTTCTATGTATGGGTAGGCTATTAAAATAATGGTTTCTATTTTTGTATGCAAAGACAAGTGAACTTGACAAGGTTATAATATATATTTTGATTATTAGAGGACATTAATAAAGTAAATTTTTCTATTGAAGAAAAGTTAACATAATATGGTGGTAAATATTCTTTTCTTAATTTTTCATAAAAGGGACATTGTAAAATAAAATGGAACTCATCTTCAACTAAATCATAATTACATAGTTTACATACTCGTTCGTTTCAATAGCCTGGTTCATGTCAAACTTTTATCTAGATACACATCCACTTAACTAGTTAAAGTACGACGTGAACCACTCAATTATAGCTAGATAAAGGCTTAAGTGAATTAACTTTACTAGAATAACGGTAAATTAACTTGCTTAACGGTAAAGTCAGCTTGGATTACAAGGACACGATTAAGATGTGTATAAGAGACAGCCATTCTCAAGATCAAGTAAATTGAAAAAACTAAAAACAAAAATACCAAGCAGTGACAGGAAGTAAGTAATTAATTTAC